AATTTTGTAAACTTTTAAGTGTGTGTTAAATTTGTGTCCTTATAACCTTTTAAGTTTATATTGTGTAACATATTAATTATTATGGTTTATTCATGTTGTGAACGAGTGCAAAAGCAGGGGAGATAGGGTAAAAATGCATCGATTTTCCAAAAACGATGAGGTATGTCTAGTTTTTTTATATTATTTTTAATCTTATGTAAGGATACCTATATCTAGGCTTTATATATAATTTTGAAAAATTATGTTAGAAAATTATAACCATTCTTTAAAATGCATTTTTGTGATAATATTTCAACTATGGTACAAAATATGGTTATAATATTTTATAAAATATTCTCAAAAAAAAATCATTTTAAACTTTAAAAATTTTCATAAAAGGGTTAAAATCACCCGCGGGGTGTAATTTGAAAATGTAAATTTGCCTCTAAGCAGTAAGTCTTGAAATTTGTATAGTTTTTAATTTTTATAAATATATTTTACCTTATAAATTAATTAGATTAGGAATGAAATAATTAGATAAACTTATTTGCCTCTATTAGATACGTTTATAGTTAATTGACTGATGTAGAGTAATTTTAAGTTGTGTTTTGAACATTTGCGTCTAAGTATATGTATTTAACTTTGGAAAATAAAATAATAATTACAAAAATGTAGTTTTATTATTCCTCTTTTAACTTTCACTAGAAAAATATTAAAATTATTTATATATTGGAGATAACAAAATAATACAATTCAGCCACCAATAATTTGAATATCTCTTTTTGACTACACCCGCTAGATGGCGCAGTAGTCACGGAACAAAACTTTAATACTAAGTTGCCTATCTAACTAAACCCCCCCCCCCACCCAACTTATCCCTTATCTATGATTCTGCATCTCAAACGGTAATTAACCATCACGTATCTCATGTAGCGCCTGTACAGCAAATATTGCATTATGTTGAGCTGCTTGTATAGGGTGATATTCCCTTTATTAGGTAAAGGCTTTCAAGCCTATTAAATGGATATTCCAGTTTTATAGGGAGTAAGTAAAAACACTACTACCTACAATGGGTTTTACTAGAGTCCCTGTAATTTTTTTTCATACTATCTGGAAAGTGAGTTTTTTTTAACTTTTTAGTATTAAAAACTTTATAACTGGAACACAACTTGTAGCATTTTTTTATTCTTTCCACGAAATAATGCAAGAACACATTACTAGTGAATATTAAAAAAATACTGCAAAAACGAAAAGTGAGAGGGAGTTATAGGCACAGATTATAAAGGCAATTGTATAGAAAGATTTTGCAAGAGAAAAGTCTAGCCATCCTTGTTTACTTTATACATAGTGTTTTTGAATTATCGACCTTCTTTTGTTTTTACATAAAACTTTTTATCTCCGATATTTGTTAGTTGTTAGTTTTATTATTTAATATTTATCACCAAAAAACATGTGGTGTCCAACCTTTCCTTTCTGGGGAGGGTAATTAGTTTAAGTTTACTTTAAAAATTGTATATCTTTATAGCTTTTAACCGACGTGATCATTTTGTATACTTTTAAATGTATTTTGTAACACAGTTGCCAATAACCCTTTAAGGCAAAAATATGTGCCCTATCACATCAGCACACTTGAAACAATTTTAATAAAGTTTAACTTAACTGTTTAAGTTTATGTTCAAAAACCCAAAAAATATCTTTTAATTATGAAAAGACTAAAAATTAGTAATAATTGTTTTGAAATTACCGACCTTCTTTTGTTTTTACATAATTTTTTTTATGTATGTTATTTCTGTGTGTATAAGTCAGAAAAAAACAATTTTTCATTTAATTAATACAAAAATATATTTTTCTGGTGCTGTATTCGGTGATGTTGGACATTACACATTGGTACCATTTGATAACGAACTACCCTGTTATAATTATACCTTTTATGTATCTATTTAACCAATAAAATTATGTATTTTGTGCTTTGCTTAATTTTAGCTTGAGCTCAGCATGAGAAGACTAACTTCTCAGCCTAACTATTTTTGCGTATTTTTGTATGACCTTAAACTCCTGTTACACCTGTCACATTTAAACTAAGTTAACTTAAATACAGATTTGTATAGCTATAAAAAAATATTTAAACTTTAATAAAACTTTTTTAGTTAATTTAATACTGTTTGGTCCTAGTTTTCCTATCTATCACGATGTTAATTATAATTAATTAATTGATTATTATTAATTAATTAATCTATAATTATAGATGTTTCTCTTAAAACTTAAAACAAATGTATTTTTAATACTTCAATATTTTTAGTTATGCAAAATAAAGTAGGTAATAAAAGCTGTAGGTAATAATTAAACTAAAGTGTTTTTATTTTAGGTTTTGTTGCCAAATATGTATGCAACAGCTGTTACAGATATGTATTTGTTAAAAACTGTTGGTGGCACAAATTACTCATTAAGATCTGTTTGTTATTTTGTACGTGGTATGGTGTAGTGCGCCATTTTTGAGATACTCTGTAGGTATAATAAATTTGGATATGCAACGGTATTTTTTTATGCCATGGCATATCTGCAGATATTACGAAACAGCGTTGCCAACTTTGTTTTTTCACTCCCAACAGCTATATTATATTAAAAATCCACCAGAAAACCACAAAAAAATTTAAACGACCAGATTTAGTGGTTTTAAAAAAAAAATGTTTGTCAATTTTTTAATTTGTAAAAATTATATAAAATGTTATTTAAAATTAAAACATATTTTTTAAATAAAACATTAAATTTATTGTTTGTATCCATAATACTTACCTACCACCTTAATAATTACGAAAAAATTAATACATTGGTATTCACATAAAAATATCAATTTACCAAAATTTTAAACTAGGTTTATTCTTGTGGTTACAAAAAAAACTAAAAATAAAACAAAATCTTAGGAATTAGAAGTGTTTTGACTTTTGACTAAAGATAGCATCACAAACTTGTTATAAGAAAGAAAGAAATCGTATTTTTACAAAATGAATTTTACATAAAATAAAGAAAAAATCAATAGGTAAGAAACCCACCATAAAAACCACTAGCAACTAAAAACAATTTTTACCCACCAGCAGGGGATGTAAACCTCCAGTTTTAGTGGTAAAACCACTAAGTTGACAACACTGTTACAAAACCTTTGGATTATCATTTTTTCGAAATCTATGTTAAACATATTTACATCAATAAATTTCGCCGTTTTTCCAGATAAAACGAACTCGTTTATAATTTTGGTAGCAAACCGCTCAAAATTACGGTTTTGATCAATTTCAAGCTAATAAGGACGTGTCCAATCTAATCACGAGAAATAATGACCTGGATGATTCAATTTGGCGTCCACTATCTCGGAAAACACACAAAAAAGTTCCAGAACAAAATGCCTACCTAATTGAATCATAGAACAGATAAAAGCTTTAGGCATAACAATGACACATTATTGTTAATTATTCAGACTCGTACTCGAAGTTCAACGTTTTTTTTTTTAAATTTAAATTTCCAGAAAAGAGATCTTTTAATAGGTATAAATTGCATAGACTATCTATTGCTAAATAAATAATAATATAAATTGCATATACTACCTATTGCTAAATAAATAAACGTTAATATTGTACTTAGATGCTTGAATCCAAAATATAATTTACCTAAGGTTATTGTGCTAAATTAAGATTTTAAAAATTAAAATAATTATTAAGGTAGGTATGTAGCTGTGATATACAAAATAAATTTGACCTAAAAAGATAAACTAAATTTTTAGGGGGTCATTAATCAATTTAAAAAGTTTTTGTGGTGTGCATACAAAAGTCGCGCACCACCAGAAAATTGTTAACAAAATTCTTCCTAAAAAGATAAGAGCGTAAACTTGAATTTTTAAACTTAAAACATAATTCACCATAAAAATTAATGTTTTATGTTATAAAAAAACCTAGGATTTTTACTATAACAACACGCATGCGTTTGGAAACATAACGTACCAAATTTAAATGAAACAAAAATTAATTGATTTATTAATTCATTAACATCACACCATAGACCGTCATTGAAAGTTAAAAGTTTAGTAAGACATTGGCATGTAATTTGTATTAAGTTTTTTGATAGATATGTATCTTGTGTTTGGAGAATGCCTTAGCCTGTGTGGTTGGGTATGTTAGTCTAATGTTAATATTTGTTTAATTTTTTTTCATATGTTTGATCTATGGTTATATGAGTCCCTGGCAGGTACTCCTGTTATTTGCTTCTGTGTAGCCACAGGCTTATATAAGACTGTGGTCCAGTTTGAAGTAAAATAAATAACCTTTAACTTAATTTAGCCAATTTATTTTGACACTTTCTAATATGGTTATTTGTTGTAATAATAATTCGTAATAATTAAACTACCACTTTATTATATTGCAATGTTGCCATTTAAAGAAAATAAATAATGAAAGTTCAATTTTTTTTTACAATTTTCAGGGATTTCTAGGGGTCTGTAGATCATACACCTAAGGGGTAACAACTTCAAGGTGTTGGGCGACTTTTGTGACACCCTGTATAATAAATATTCCATAAGAATTAATAAAGTGTATTTCTTTGATTTGTTTGCAGGGTGTTAAACTTGTTTATAATTTGGGAAGCAATGTTTATGAATTTTAAATACCAAATATTTAAGCATTACTTTCTTACCCAGGAAAATAATTTACAAATAAAATAAGTTTACCAACTTTTTTGATGTTACATGCATACTTTTATTTATTTTGGGATATTTTATTGATGCATCTTATTTAATTTTAATAAGGATATACATTAGGTATATCATATAATTGCAATTTCACAAGTTGTAGTAGGTACTTTAGATGGTTTTATTAAATATCACATTTTTATAAAATACACTTACATAAAATTAAAATAATACCAGAAGAAAAATTATGTTAAAACATAAATAAAATTGTGACAGATGTAGAATTAATTTTTAAAAAATTACCCAAATTGTTCTTCTAACAAAAATAATAAATTATAAAGCTACTTACTCTGCCTCCTTGTGCCTCTCCGAGAAAGAATTGATTTTGATTGCAAATGGCATTGAGCAAGTCCCCAATACATTAACTACACGATAATTGTTAAACCGCACATTAAAACCGAGTTTTTGTAAGCAACGTGCGAACCTACGTGCAGCCACTTTGGCGGCTAGTTCGCTGGTGGCCCCTGTACAAGTGATCTTCCCCGAAGACCAAATGCTGGCAGTGGTATAGGGTCTACGCAGCTTCATGGTGATCATGCCATTCTCCTTACGGTACTCAACATTTGTACCATTAAGGGCGATCTCTCGCAAGTTCAAGTGGCACCTTACACTAAAACTACATACTACATTGTTTATCACTATGTCAATTTCTGGCTCTTCGGTTTGTTGATTATCACTGATCACTGGTTGTTCAGTCAATTGGTGGGTTTCTATGTTGTTGACCATTTCACTGTAGCCATTCAAGTCTTGCAAATCATGGTGCTGGTGTACTAATCCATTTCCATTGGAAAGCGATTTAATACCATTTTTCTGGATCACAGTAGCCATAATAAATGCACCAAGTGTTAAATTCCTAAAAATTAACATGTTCTTAAATAACACCCATTCCAAAAAACATAAGAGTCTCAAGGTCAACTTTGAATAGGTATAACACTGTTATAATAACAGTCTAAAAAAATTCAACTTAAGCTAGAATTAACTGTCTTAAAAATGTTAACTAAAGTTATATATATTTAAGTTTAGCTAAAATTGACATTCTTAATACAGTTAACTTAAAAATATTAACAAGCTAGAAATAACTATCATTTAAGAATGTTAACTTAAGCTAGATACAACTACCTTAAGAATTTCAACTAAAGCTAGCTAGTATTATCATATAGAATGTTTTAACATATAAAATATCACATTATTTAACTTATAAATACAACTGTCTTAAAGATGTTAAGTCAAGCTTAAGGTTAAACTGTGCTTAAACCATTGTTTTAATAAATATGACTAAGAACTAAGCTTGGATTAAATTTAAACTGTAGTTAAACAACCAGGCCTTAAGAATATTACCAAATGTTAAATATAATGGTTTTAAGCACGGTCTTATATATAAGACCGTGGTTTTAAGTATTAACACTGAGTGAGTATAAACTACAATAAAAACCATAACACATAGGTATAACCCTATTTTTTAGAATTTCTAAAAATGATAACAGTTTTACCAACATTATTGAAAAATTACTAATTTTGGCGATATATTTTACTATAAAGGTTATTTCTTTAAATCCATACTCAAATCTCTTATTTAACTGATATCGCCGGCAATTTTGCAAAAATAAAGTCTCTTTGTACGCACAGGAAGTCTCAAAACCATGTTATAACTACAGTTAGCGGAAATATCCGGGAAAACTTACCAGCTCTTCCAAAACTAGCGTACAAAACATCAACTATCCGAGAATATTAAACCTGTGGGGTCTCAATTCTGCGGGAATCCAATTAAACGAGTTGTTATCCATTGTAAGAAGCCATGATACACCACCTACGAACAAAACCTCACTGTTGACTGGCGCTGCTAATGGACACTGGAGGGCATGCGCCCTTTAACTGTCAAACACGCAAAAATTACCGACAGTTCCAATCATATGACGTCAACTTTAATTCTCATATTCCCCCGCAGATGGCCCTGCAAACGAAACAGCTGAGATTCAGCGTTGCCAAAGTTAGTATAGTGTGCAAATCAAATCTCTCACAGCCCCTAACCAGTATATTTTTAAACCAATATGATAGTATATTTGTTATATGGACTAACTTTTAACTAATTTAAGGCTCCGAATATAATGTGGTACATTTTTGCTCAACACCAAAAATGAAGGCGTCTTTCGTCTGGCAACACTGGTGGGATTTGTTATATGATTTTTTAAGCATCTGTCAAAAACTTGACATTTTTGTACGAATATTTTCAGACAAAATATCAAGTAAGTTATTAATTAGAAAACTTTATTATTACTTTAATTCCTAATATTTCTCTTAGTTATGTTGAGAAGACCTCCTACAAACATTGAACTAAAGTTGAATGATATTCAAGAATACGAAGAAATGCGTCAACAAATAATAAAGGAAAAATCAAATAAGTCGGGTTTTGATTTGCCCACTTGGCAACCAGGTCCGAAAATTAAGCAAGAAGTATACAGCCGCCTTGGATATATTCCACAGAGGCCCATTCCAGTTCGAAACATATTTAATTAATACAACATAAGATTTTTTATTTATTAAATTAAAAGAAAAAAATCTTGAGAATGTAGGTATATTTATTTTAGAGTTTTTACAATAAATAGTTGCTAAGAGGTTTTGGATGTCTTCACTTTTTTTTTCTTTTTCCTAAAAGAATAAATGCATTATTACTATAATAATAAGGAATAATTCCTAATAATTTAATTGTTTCACAATATCACATAAGATTATAAAAATGTTTCTAAAATTAACATTGTACATCGAAAAGTTTTATTTAAAATATAATTATAATTTTTATTAATGAAATAGGGAAATATTTACCTGCTACTTATCTTTTTTGCTTTTTTTAGGAGATTCGCAATGCTTTTTACATTTACATGGGTAACCTATATGTTTTTTTTATTAAATTTTTATTTTTATATTTATTGCTTTACACATTGACTGAGTTGATATCCCTGGCGCACTGCCATACAATTAACTGTTGTATGGAGTTGAAATCAGCTTAATGTTTGTTCTATAAGGTTACATGTGTCAAGGCATAAACCACTCTTAAATTATTTAAACAATGTTTAGCATTATATGGGTGTAGTGCTCTGATTTGATTTTGCTTTTCAATAAAAATCTTATCCTTATTTATAAGAAATTTCTCTTAGCGACGCGTTGTAACCCTTGTGATTTTTTTCCTTAGCCGTTAATTCGCAAGCGATTTTTAATTTTTAATAATTAGTGGTTTACCCTTCAAGATATGTCATACATTGATAGACAAATTATTACTTTGGGATCCCACAGTCAATGTGTTAACAAATATTACCAGAAGGGATAATATAACTTGCAGCATCTAAAATAAAACAAATTATAGATCTGTTACATATTTAAAAAAATATTATATAAACCTCTTTTTGTTGGTTGTTCAGTCAGTGTTGCTAAAATTTAAAATATTTTTAAACACCTCATAATTTTTTTTAAGAACTGTATACACTGAGTATTAAAATGAATATGTAGGGTGTCCCCCCTTATCGTGCGATAGTGAAGGTTATTTCTGCAACATTTGGAAAAAACTAGATTAGTCAAAAATCATTCCTACAATTTATTTGATTCTTTAGCGTACCATCTCCTTTTGCCAAAAATCTGATTGGAGCATACTTTTATTGATAAGTAGTTTTTGAGTTAATTTGTTTTTAAAATTTAATTTCCTTTTCTTATTGTAAAATTTTAAGGCTATTAAATGCCTAATTACTCAAAATTACTTAAAAACAATATTTTATTATAAGTTCTATCTATCGCGCGGTTTGTGAGCCATTTTTGGGACACCCTGTATAGTATACAGTGTATACTAACCTTCGTTTTTGCCCTGGGTTTCATCTGTTTTAATGCCTGTATCATTAGTTCTTCTCCTTACACTATAAGAATCTATAGAGAGAAAAACAATTTATATAATTTACTGTTTGTAATATTTACCTTTTTGAATAGAAGCATCCCTATTAAATTCTATTTGTCCTAAAAATAAAAAAAGAATATAAGTTTGTAAATTAAAAACTATGGGATCGTTTTTAATTAATAATATGTTACCTCTTTTTCTTCTACATTCTTTTTCATTATCATTTAGAAGATTTTCAAGCTCTACAAAAAATACCTATTATTTATTATCCAGTTACATGTTTCTAGCTTAAGTTGACATTCTTGTCTGAGAATATTTAACATCGAATAGATCTATTTTTTGTATTTATTGTAAAAGAGTTTTTAGGACTATTTTTAAACAAATCCATGTTAAATAGACACCTTTATACAAGGTATCCCAAAAACAGTGCACTAACGCCATAATACGCGATAAGAGGGGTAATTTTAGGTATACAAATAATAACAAAAAAGTAGATAGTTGTTGACTTATTAAGCATTTAATTAAAAAAAACTTGGCAGCGCTGCAGCGTGTATTTCTTAAACCGAATTACAACATGGCTAAAAACGGTAGTTATAACTTATAACTTATAAATATATATAATATATACAGTGTGTCCGTAAAGTCCCGGAACATGTGATTATTTTGAAAACGGTATTTAAAAAAAAAAAAACGCTGAAACACGTCAACTTTGTTATTTTTCTAGCAATATTTTAGCATATGTAGTTGTTCCAAAATCTGCCGCGTGGCGGCGCCCCAATCGAAGTAAGGTTTTTTTAAATTACAACCCTTTATTTTTGTTGCATTTTTGGATAGCTACCGTCGTCCTGAGTACATTGATATGCTACATGTGGAGGGTTACATAAGAAAATTTTTGAGAAAAGTAGGTTTTTGCCGCTGATTGAGATTTTGGTTTTGACGAACTTATTCGCTGTTACGGGGCACTATGCATTGCTAGTAAGGGATTATTTAAATCAGGTCTTTCCCAATCGCTGGATAGGTTAAAGGGGTCAAATTGAGTGGCCAGCGCGATCGCCCGATTTGAACCCTTTAGACTTCTTTTTACGGGGACATCTTAAAAACCGCGTCTATGTAAACAGGCCTTAAAATTTGGACGACCTAAGACACCGCATTCAAGCCGAGATCCAGATGATCACTCCAGCGGTACTGGCAAACGTACAACGCTCGTTTGTAGACAGGCTGTTCCATTGCCAAATAGTTAACGGTGGACACTTTGAGCAACTGCTCTGATTGGCTTTCCAAAAAACATTAAGCAACGCATAGATTGTGTAAGTTTGTCAAAATACCAAAATCTCATTCGGCGGCAAAAAACCTGATTTTCTCAAAAATTTTCTTATGTAACCCCCCAGATGTGGCACATCAATGTAATCAGGACAACGGTAGCTATCCAAAAATGCAACAAAAATAAAGGGTTGCAATTTAAAAAAAACTGACTTTGATTGTGGCGCCGCCACGCGGCAGAATTTGGAACAACTACATATGCTAAAATATTGCTAGAAAAATAACAAAGTTGACGTGTTTCAGCGTTTTTTTTAAAAAATTACCGTTTTCAAAATAATCACATGTTCCGGGACTTTACGGACACACTGTATATAATAAATAAAATAAGATAAACTATATAACTTATAACTATAGTTATATATGGAAAAAAATAAACAAGGAAGCTGTACCCCAGATGGTTAACAAGTTTGGGTTCAAAAGATTAAAACTTTAAATCATCAAATCAACAAACATTTTTTGTGATCCGTGATTAGAAGTTTTTGGACTATTTTTTATAAAAATTAAGAAAATATTTTTTTATACTCGGGGTAATAATCAATATTATTATTTAAATTATTTAATATTTTCAAATATTGATTATTTACAATTGTTGATGAACTTAGTTTTGTCGCTTTTATGCATGATACTACATAAGACTTAGGGCTTTCCTAAGGTTTACCCAGGACAGGTTCTGGTTTTTGCTAATGTGACCTGGTTTTAATTGTGTACTGGTTTTGTCCTGGTTTTGCAGATTTGGTCCTAATTTCTTTTATTATTGACGTTATTAGAAATTTATTTGTGGTCAGGGCTAATTTAAAAATGTAAAACTTTGAAAGTACATTTAAAAGAGTAAAAAAGTAAGAAAAAGCATCGTTTAACAAAAATTAAAACAAACTATTAAAAGTGGTCGGGGCTCAGGTTAAAAATTAATTTACAAATCTGAATTTTTGGGAGTACCTTCAGAATAGTAAAAAAGTAAGAAAAAACCTCGTTTGAATTTTTTTCCACTTTTTTAGGATTTGTTCTAATTGTTTTATTAAAAGTAGTCGGGGCTCAGGTTGAAAATTAATTTAAAAATCTGAATTTTTGGGAGTACCTTCAGGATATTTTTTTATTATTTACGTTATTGCACATCTTTTTTTTTAATAAACATTATATAAAATAAATATTGTTTGTGTTTGGTAGAAGGTCTAGGAGGGGCATGTTGTGTCCTGGTTTTTTATTTTAGAAACTTGGTCACCTTAGGCTTTCCATGCCGAATCAGCCGCTAAAAACATATCTCCGATTTGCTTCAAATTTTGAGGGTCTATATGTTATATAGTGGAACCCAAAAAATCATGGTTTCTTTGTTTTAGAATATTTTCAATTTTTTTAAATTCTGAAAAAAACATACTTATACAGTAGGGTGACCGCAACTCATAGGGGGTGGAAAAAAATGTCGGAGTTTTGTTCGTCTGGACCCCACAAAACGATTCCCCTTTCCAGATATTGAGTTAGCCAAAATTTGAGCTCGATTAAACGACGTTAACCCGTGCCGCTCGTCGCTCAAAGTTTGAAAAAATCCAAATTTTTGGCCAAAAAGCTGACATATGGAGCCATAACTCCAGAACGGTAAATAATAAAAATACGCTTAATATCTCAAAAGAAAGCTAATGTTGTTCTTAAAAATTTGTAATATATACATAATTGTTGTTATTTTAAGTCAAACCGAGTTACAACAGCCTTTAGCCCTAAAAACATGACCTGGTACCACTAGGAGCATACTTCGTATATTTTGTTATTAAGTGATAAATTTTGCTTTTTTTGGTATATTTTTGAGTTTAAAGTGGAAGTATAATAAAAAAACAAGTAATAATGATAAATCTAATGACATTTTTTATTTTAAAATATAAAAATTAGGTATATAATACATACAAAACAGACACAGAAAAGATACAGACGTAGTAACTACATGAGTTGATTTTACATAGTTATCTAATCTATTCTAGAGCTTTTGTTAAAGTAGTTTTTGAAACGTCAGGATATAATGCTCGGCATTTGCTTACAACTTGCAGGACATATTGCTTTTGGCCTTCATCTTTAGTCAGAAGGTTGTTAAAGTCGGTTATTAATTTAACACCACGCTCAGCCATATCATTAACTACCTTTAATGTTTTGACAATTTTCAATCCTTCTTGGAAGTCATTATTTTGAGGCCAGGTGTTTGGATGTTGTCTTAGGAAATCTGTTTTTATATTAAATCGGTTAAAGAATGTAAATGTTTCTTTGGTAAGTAAATTTACCAATCCTCCATCAACAACCTCTTTTAATTTTTCTTTCCTAACTTTTGGATTTACAACCCTAGCGTGCTCTGATGGTTCATCTGTGCTACTGACCAATTTATTAGCCATTAACAACTTTTCATAGTCTGTAATGGTGGGATCAAAAAAAGATAATCC